ATTATCTTTTACTGATGTGAAGCGCATCGGCACATTAGGTAAAATCCAGAAAGAAACCATAATAGTGAGAAATAGAACAATGGCAATGAAAAAATGTTTAACAACATCAGTCAACAGCTAATTCCAATCCTTCCCATTCAATAGCATGCCTTCTCTAACAACAGCATCAACTATATGGCTTTTCATTTGGTCGAATTACCACCACTACTACATCCTCGAAGAGACTTGTTTGCTTCAATCACGAAAATATTTTATGCTTATAGGCTCCAGTAAGGAAAAAAACTCTTGAAGGATTTATGCCTTCAGGGAGACTTAGATCTAATGGGCTTTGAAGAGGGAATCAAACAGGATAATGATCTAGCCAAAATCTCCACCATTTGGGTGATAGTCCATGCTCATTTCTTATCAAGTCAAAACTCTTGCTTACTCATTGTTGTACACAATGTCCTATAAGGAATTGTTCACACCATTCTACGACACCTGTTTTTTAGAGTTCATTCATTCAACATATGATGAAAATATCAAGGTCGACTTCTAGAAGGAAAATGACAAAGCAGAGTCTCTATCCGAAGCATTGCCATTCAAGTGTAATCTAGACTACACAAACTTACCAACAAAACAATCACCAATGGTTCAGATAATACTAGAACCTAGATACATTATCAAAAGTTAAAATCCAATATAGCTTCCCAAATTCATCTTCTGCGAAACTCCAGTAGGTTCCTTCCAACAATTGCTTTTATCAAATGAACACTTCTCAAATTATTTGTTCTGCAAACATTCCACCTTTTCGTTCATTGTCTAGCAGTGACATTATCACTTTCGCGAGCAAATTACTAGACTCCGCCATTAAATATCACAAATATCACTAACTAATTTCTTGTCTTGCAACAAGTCAGCAATAGATGTTGGATGTAATAACATGTTTATCTGTAACATACCCAACCAAACGTGATATAAAAGATATTTACCAAACTAGGTGAAACAAAAATATAATTGATTTTTGTCACTCTCTACTCAAATCACCTATTTCAATAAACCCAATTGAACAAGCAGCTAATTTGACCACAAGCCCCATTATTTATCAGGAGCAAGTTATGTGAGATTGGAAGAACCAAATAACATTTTTTATGAAGATCATATGTCATCCTGCATGGATAATAGAGCGTGCAACACACATAAAATCAAATATAGCTAGTTGTCAGCCAAATATCATCATGCTACCAGCAGGCAGCATTTCAACTAACCTTATAGACCCAAGTTAACCAACAAATCAAGCTACCTTCACAAAAATGAGTTGTGCATCCTCCTCGTGGAACTAATAATCTGACCAAGCCCCCGATCCACAAAGCAGTTCACCATGGGGCATATGTGATCATTTTGCCTCGTAGACGGGGCAATTAGTGTTGTAAATGTCGAAATGTCGGGTTGAGGGAACGAGTGCCATGGATATGCTATTTTGATGGCGGATTGCGGATTTCAGGCCCACATCAGACATTGGGGGCGAGATGGTAGATATATCAGCCGATTTTTCAGCTTTAAAAAATCGACCGATATGATTTATTTTGTTTACCCAAAACCCAAACCCCTCGACTTATTTTCAGCTTTGGTTCCCAAATACACCTGATAGCATCACAAATTAGGGCAAAAAAAGGTAGTAGCTGCTCTTCTTCTCTGTCGTATTCCCTATCACCACAGATCCCGACCAATAACTCAAAATCGTTGCATCAGAGCTCCAGAAATCACTGGTACGTCTTTCTCTTGTTCTCTCTATCTTTCTTCTCTCTTTCATTCCCCCTCTCTCACTGTCCCCCACCCCCTAAAAAAATGCTCTGATTATCAATTTTTTTGTCAAACTCAGATTGTGGAAGCTGCAGGTTTCAAGTTTTCAAGGGCCAAACGATCAAATACCTTTTGTTTCTTTCTCAATGTCGGTTTAGATTTCATTTAGGATATTATATTACACATGCACATCATCCAATATGCCAATCCAATATTTATTTTATGTCCTCCGATATATTTTTTATTTACGTTATCCGACATGAATTTTAGTCCACCCGACATGAACCCGATATCTAACATTTAAAACCTTAGGGACAATCTACTTCTCTTCTTGCACCTAAATTTCTGATATATGCATATGCATAATTCATAGAACTTAAATAGCACCCACATTTGTTAAATTGCACACAGGCCAAAAAGGATAATTCCATCGCATGCAATTTAAAATCTCCGAAGAAGATAAAAACATGACACTGCCAACTATACAAAGTTGTCAATGCTGCTTCCACCGAAAGCCATGCGCAAATTGCCCAACAGTAGTCAACAGAACATAACATGCTTTGAGACTCAAGCCCATAGTAGAAATATATTCTGATAGAAAGAATGTAAACAAAATCTTATTACAATCTCCTTGATCTCTACCTGCTAACATAATGTGTCTCTTGTCACTCCAACAAGGAAGAATGAGTTGCATAGTGATGAAATGTCAGAGAGGGAGAAAGAAAAGAGGGATAGAGGTATTAGGGTTATACTATTTTTTAAACAAGGGATTTTATAAAAGCACAACTCTGGTGCGTTAATGAAAAGTCGAAGAGAGAGATATTGGGGTTAGAATATTTTTAAATCATTTGAAGAGATTTTATAGAAGCACATGTCAATTGCGTGAAGGAAAAATCATCAAGTCTCTTACATTGTTAACCTATATTACTTTAGTCAAAAAGTCCCTTTATTGTCAAATTACTATGTGACTATTCATTAAGTTAGATAAAAGGCTCGCCTTTAAAACAATGATACTGATCACGTGTTTTACATCATCTTTTCCTGGTCAGGGCAAGCTAGAGAAAAAGCTTGTGCTAGTAGCAATTTGTCCCTTTGACAAGTCGCTACTAGCAATTAATGCTAGCTCTTCTTCAAAATACTAAGCATGTTTAATTAATGCTAGGTCGTCTTCAAAAGACTAAGCACGTACAATTCATGCTATAATAGTTTTTTTTGGTTTATGATCTACATGATTACTAGAATGGAGTGTTGTCACTTGTCACTAGTGCACTGACCATACCGCATGATTTAACATATGCAAAGCATTGATCCTATCATATCATTGAGTTCTAACTTTGATTCTAGCATGTGTGGGTAACTTAATGGTGGAAGAGGATCTTCGCTTTAGATATAAAAATTTAAAAAAAAAGTTGTAAAAGCTTTGGTAATTGGTAGCACTAGCTAGCATATCCTTCTATTACCTTGCAAGTCACAACTAACAAAAAATTTCATCAACAAAATATTCTCTTTTACCTAACTCTATAAGTTCCTTGGATTTCAAGGAAATCAGTACAATCAAAAGAATAAATATTTAGAAGAACAAATAGTTTATTTGATAATTTATAAACTTTGTCTGGCAACCTAAATCTCTTCTTTTATAGAATTTAATATTTTTTATTTTGGGTTTTATAGATATTAGTTCCTAAATCTTTCATATTATTCTGTCAATCTCCTTAAACATTAAATTATTTAGTTTCCCGGTTCATATAATTTGCTTCATATTAGTATGCAAGACTATTTTTTTGTTCAATTTATTAACTTCTGATAGATTATATTAATTGCACGACAACATTTCATTCCAGTCATCATGTAGGCTAGAAATAAAAATAAAAAATATTATAGCATTAATTGCACGTGTTCAATATTTTAAAGACAAGCTAGCATTAATTGCTAGTAGTGAATTCTCACACTATGACAAGTCACCACTAGCATAGGCTTTTCCTCTAACCTGCCCGGACTAGGAAAAGATGACAAAAAACACATGTTTCGGTATTATTATTTTGAAGACAAACATTTTACCTAGTCTATTCAACCTAATGAATAGTCAAATAGCGACTTGAGAATGAAGAGACTTTACAATTAAAGTAAGAAAGGATTGCTAATGTAAAGACTTGATGATAGCGTATGACTTTTCATTTATGTAGCCGAGCTATACTTCTACAAAATCTCTTTAAAAATTAATAAAATATTCTAAGCCTAATACCCCTCTCTCTCTCTCTCTCAGACTTTTCATTTACATAGTTGAGTTGTATTTCTATAAAATCTATTGCTTAAAAAAATATTCTAATCTCAATACCTCTCTTTTTAACATTTCATCATCATGCAACTTATTCTTCCTCGTACAAGGGACTGGTGACACATCATGTTAGCAGTTAGGGATCAAAGAGATTGCAGCAAGATTTTTATTACACTCTATCTACTAGTCTATATTTCTATTAGGGATTTTGAGCATCATAACCTCTTATGTTCTTTATCCCATCTCATTTGAGTAGAAAGCTCTTTTAAATAATAAAAACAACAGGAAAAAAATAGTAGAATTGTAAATCTAAGGCTTACTTTAGCAAATGCCTATTAACCTAGTTAAGACCTTGACCAGATTATCTCTGACACAGGCAAGTGGTCTAACCCTAGCTTGCTTAAGGGCCAAAATTTGAACTAACAATATAAGGTTCAATCCTGACTCAACATTAGTCAAGCAAAATTGAAGTCCTTAACCAAGTTAGTTTCAACAAACTGGTTAGTGGGGAAGATTTTACTAAACACCCCATAAGTCCAAAGGTTAAGTTTGATGGAATATTCCCCTAAATCCACAAAGCAGTTCACCATGGGAACTTATAGGCTCCAGAAAGGGTTTATGCCTTTAGGGAGACTAAGACCTAATAGGCTTTCACGAGGGAATTAAATACAACGACAATCTGGCCAAAATCCCCACTGTTTGTGTGATAGTCCATGTTATCTCATCTTCTTAGTGTTATATATAAATTTATAAACCTCAACATTATCACAATACTGAAGTTTTAGTGTAGTGGCAGGTCCTTTGACATAATACCAAGAAACCTTGGTTTTGACACATAAAAATGACGCTCACCCTGCAAGAGCTTGTTAGATATGAATTTTCTAGGATTTTTCATATATTTGCCCCAACATCTTAGGTATTTTTAAATAAGACCTGCGAATCATTAATATTTAAAAGAAGTCCACCAAATGTATTAAGTTGTCTCATATAGATGATCATGATCCTACGATGTTTATCCTTTATTGTAACCACACATTAGCCCAACTATGTTAACTTGCTTGTTAATCCCTCATCTTCTTCAAATAATTACAAAATAACCCTCAATGACTACTTTTCATGACCCATTGCCAAATAAAAACCCTCCAACTTTTCTCCAATCTTGCACTCCATTCTTTGGTTTTTTTGTTCTTACTGAAATTCCCTATTCACTATTGGATTTCAGTGTTTTCAAGCTTCTTATATGTCGTCTTCAGACAACGAAGGAAGATTTGAGCATGAAAAGATGTGTGCCTGCTATTAGTCTAGCCCAAACAGAGACATACTTTCATGGCTCTACACTCAGAAACCAATACATTCCTTCAAACTGGGCTTATACCCATGTCCAAGTGAAAACAAAATATCTCCCAAGTGAAAACAAGATATCACCTATTAGATACTCAAGGAGCCTGACAACTTAAAGCTAGATCAGTTTTGAGATGCTCTAGTACATAAGAATATTGAGGTAATAATCACAATGCTTTTTCACTTTCAGGTTTGAGGAGATTTGGGCTCAAAGTTAAGAGGGGAAAACAAAAGGAATCCCAAATCAACCCTTGTCCCTCTAATTAACTACACTTAATTAGAGTAGGTGGGGGTATTAACTCAACCCCAGTTAATAATAGAAATCGTAAACATTTTCTTATTTGAGTTGAACTCATATTTGGGGGACTTATCTTATTTAAAATTACCTAAGATTTGGGAGACCAATATAAGAATAACCCAAAATTGTAACTCTCAAATCACACTGCAACTTTGAAGTTTTGATGCAGCGATAGGGTCCTTTGACACTTGTCAAATCCTAAATCTTGTTATCTTTCTCATTGATGTACACAATCTCCTACAAGGAATTGTTTGTGTTGTTCTACAACACTTGTCTTTTAGAGTTCATTCACTCAACATCTGATGAAATATCAAGGTCGGCTTCTACAAGGAAAATAACAAAGCAGCCCCTATCCGAAGTATTGGCATTCAAGTGTAAGCTAGTCTTCACAAGCTTACCAACAAAACAATAACCAATGTTTTCAGATAATACTATAACCTAGATACCAATCAAAAGTTGAACTAAATATAGTTTCTCAAATTCATCTTCTATGAAAGTCAAGCAGTTGCTTCCAACGATTGTTTCTGCCAAATAGGAACTTCTCAAATTATTTGTTATACAAACATTCCACCTTCTTATTGTGCATTTTCTTCATATTTTAACCCTAGAACCTTCACATTTTCTGTGTAATGGTAGACGAGATGAACTAATCTTGATGGCGTAGTTTTTATTATAAGGATTAAGATGTAGGTTAGATAGATTTTCCAGTAGTCAGTATCAATTCCACAGTTTCTAAAATTAGGGTTGCTACTCAAGACTTTGAAGGTGACTCAACAATTAAGTCAATGTCTACATGCGCAAACCCATCCCAAGAACTCTTGAAATTATGTACAATAAATTTTAAATTTTTGGCAACAGAACAAATAAAAGTTACCCACTTCCCTAAATCAGCAAAGGGGGCACAATCCCTCAAGCATCAGCAACCCAATTCCCCAAATACCAACTAGCGCCCACAAATTTAAATCAATTTAACAACAGAACCAAAGGGGAAAAAATCCTAGCTAGCTAGTAACACAACAGAATCAAAGAAAAAGAAAACCCTAGGTAGCTAATAACACTGACCTCTCTCCCAGAGTGATGATGGCCGGCGGCGGAGGAGGACGGCTTGTTGGAGTCCGAATCGTCGGCGGGATCATCGGCCACCGGAATCAGAAGCTCTCGATCTCTCTCTCTGATCGCCATCGAGTTCGAAGCCGGCGACTTGTCGTCGCCCATCGCTTGTTTGCTTTTAGTTGCCCTGCCGAAGCCCTTTCTTTTTTAGTTTTCTTTAGTCGGGTTCTCTGTTGGCGTTTTGCTATTTTGCTTGTTAACCCCCAAGCCTTTGCTTATTTTATATTGGGCCCTAACATTGTGATTGGGACATCACCGAGAGCTCGGAATTTGATGAAAAAGAGTAAAGACAAGAAAAAACACAAATCTCATTTGAAATTTTGGTGAGGAGAAAAAATGGGGATTTATTTCGCACTGCTTGGGAACTTTCATAGAGAAAACATAATGAATTTTCACAATCTTAATAATTGAATTTCATCTTCGGATGGTAAAACGGACAATCTTTTTCTTCGACAATTCTCTTCCCTTCAATTACGCTTGGAGTGAAACAAAATCTCTTAATTTTTCACCTTAATCGAATCAACTTCCTCTCTATTACCCCTCTCAAAAGGAGTTCTCAAACAGAGCTGATGGTTCAATTATCTTTCATTATCTTTCATCATCAGACTCCCTACAGGCCTAAATCTTCATATTTCTATACTACACCGTCAAATCTTTTAAGTTGTTTTAAATAAAAAGTTCTCATTCATTTTTCTTGATAAAACCACATTAGTCTTCTTAGAGTGAGCTTTTTTGCCCTAAACAAAAGATAATGACAGATAAAATAAAGAGATTAATGGAGAAAGAGGGAAGAGAGAATTGCGAAAAGAAGAGACCACGAGAAAAGTTGGAAAAGGAGAGAATTACATATTTGAAAGGACGAAAGGGAGACAGCTAAAAAAAAGAGATTAAAATCTATTTATTATCTTTCTCAAGAGCATAATCTTCCAAGTAAAAAAAGTATATTCAACAGTGAAAAGGATTAACAACAATCGAATCTAAGCACCAAGTGTTTTTTGAAACAACTTTAAGGATTAGTTCTTAATTTAGAATTATGATAATTTATGGGCTTTACATACAATTAAGAAAGTTTGTGAGGGTCTAATGTGATATAAAAACCCCTTTCATTTTATATTGTGCAAATAACTAACGACTAAACTGGGACGCATACGTAGGCAAATAGAAATGGGAGGGTCTTTATCTGTCACTCATGTGACTTCTCTCTCGATAGCTGACCGTCTAAAGGGAGAAAATAATAATGAAGATGATAATAAGAGGGAAAATTATGAAAATTATGCACTTCAACTATACTAGACCTAGATACAGTCATGTGCTAACCTCTATGATTGTTTTGAGTCGACCTAATTATCAAACTGGACACTTTGATAAATTTGGTAATATTAAATTTCTTTTATTTTCCCTTGGTATTAGTCGCAAACCAAATTCATGCATCTCTCCACATAAGCCAGCCTAAAAATCCTACCGGCCATGTCCAGTCTATGTCCGGCTCTAAGCCAAAAGGCCAAAACTCGGCCGGGGTCCTGGTTGAGACATGGACATCTCTCCCAAAATCCTAGCTTGACACGGCCTGATCCGAAGAGGGCGTCTTTTGGGTAAAATATCCGGGCTGGGCCGAGTTATCCAGCCTGGATCCGCACCCGCTAGCCGCCAACAACTAGGTAAACGATTAGTTGGGAGCGCGGTAGCCAAACTAGGCTCGGAATTTATAGATGAATGGCTATAAAAGGCCAGGTCCGATTGAGCCGCCTAGCCCTACTCAGGACCGAGTAGACCCAAACAGCCTAAAACGGCTAGCTTGGTGTATTTTAATCAAAATAACCCTAAAAACGGTCAAAAAGGTCAAAATTTAGGGTATTTTGATCTTTTGACTAGGGGCTTACCACTATAAATAGAGGGGGATTTTCGTTTGGTTTTTCATCAAAAACTCATACTCTTCTCTCCGATTGTCTCTATTACTCTCAAATTCTCCCTAATACTCTTTAATTCTCTCTTCCAACCCTCTAATTCTCTCAAAGTTTCTAATGGCTACCTTCTCCGATTTTAAAATCTTTAAAGATGAGAATACAACTCCAAGTCAAACTTCTGAAATTAGTCCTCTTTAAGAAGATTGAAATAAAAGATAATAATGGAGCTACTATTGACGTCAATGTGAAATTTCCCATATGCGGCAGATGTCATAGTCTAACCTATCGCAAAGAGCAAGGACCAACCCAACTTGACGTCCGCCAATCTCTCCTCTCGTGACCATCATCCTCCGGTAGCCTCAATACATTCACTTATGATGCAGTTAAAACTAGGAAATGCGTCATCATGTTTGTTGTACTTAAAAATATGCTTTTTAAAATATAGAAAATGATGAATTTGAAGAAATAATTTGTGATGGTTTTTATCCCGCTTTTCAAAAATTTCTTGCCAAACTTGTTAATGTGAATATTATGAGATATTATTGAGAAAATAAAATTAGTTTTTAATTTTCAAAGCTTAAATTATTAATTTTCTCTAATTTCTGATATTTGGACATCTAAAACACAAATTCGTTTTTTGTGTAGCACAACATAATTGATTGATGCCACTTGGCAAATAAATAAAAGAGTTGTCTTTTATGTCATGTGAAGATACGCATACAATTGTAAATGTTGCAAATTTATCAATGAAAGAGCTTGGAAAATTAAAAATTTCTAAAAAAATATTTACACTTACACTATATAATGCAAGTAACAATAATGTCACTACATATTATATGAAAACATCTTTGCTACTGCCATGCCACGTTGAATTTTTTAATATTAGATGCATGTGTCGTATATTAAATTTAATTGTGTAAAGTGAATTTTAGGAAATTAGAATAATAATAGGAAAATTTTGGTTGTATTGTACCATAAAAATAAGCAAGTGGTAATCACATTCAACTAGCTGACACTTGTCTAAAGCAGATTACACACCGACTCAACCTAGACACACTGCCTTCTCGTCTTCCATGAAGGCCGAGATGAAAGGCATCCCTTCTCATTTTCGTCGAAGGTCGAGATGGAAAGGAGTCCATTCTCGTCTCCCTCGATGGTCGAGAAAAAAAGCATTTTTTCTCAGCCCTCTGGCAAAGACAAGATGAAAGGCGATCACTCTCGAAACTCTCGCTAACACCTAATCACCATCACATTAAATGCACGATTATAGTCATCATTAACTCCTCGCCAAAAATCTTAATGACTTATCTGACTATGTTAGCACCTGGAACCCTCTATTACCGTCACATTAATCACAAGGGTGACTCGAACCCCCAAAGCCAATACCTGTAAAGGTATCAGCTGACTAAGCTGATTACATGAACTCGGCTGAGATTATATAAATACCCTCATTAGCTTGGTATAAATAGACACATCACCTACTAACCAAAGACGTGCAAATTCCGCACACTTAGAGAGAACTATATTAGTTCATTTCTTCACTTTAGATCATAACTAACTTGATCATCGGAGAAATCACCGAAGAACCCAACTTAGATACTCTAACGTGTTGTATATATGTAGGAATCTCCTTCGATCAAGGGATCAACCATCAAAGGAGATCGTCATTGCACAAGGCCTTACCTTTCACTAGAGTAGTTATGGAGTTCAACTTCATCTGCCACAGTGAAACTCTTAAAGCTTTGAAGATGCGACAAAGAAAAGTGTGGAGCGAAAGATGGAGGTTGTACTCTAAGTGCTTGAGATACACTGGAGCAATGTTTTTGTCGTGATTGCACAAGGCCTTACCTTTCACTGGCACTGATTGAGTGAATGCCTGAGGGATATCGAAGTTATCATAATAAGTCTCTAGCAACACTGTTTGTACCTTTGAGTGGAACTTTCAGATGTGATTAATTTGAGCCTTGTTTCGAGCTACCAAAGACGAAGATGCCATTGATTTGATGACCATCGGAGAAGAATGAAAAAATGGCTGAAAATCGCTCAGACTATAGAAGAAAATTTAAGGGTTTCAAGAGCAAGTAAAATTTCCCCATCTAAGGATGACCGCATGTATAGAAAAAAGGTCGACACGCGTCAAGATCCTAATGGTATGCACGGCTATCGATAGATAGCTGGGAGGGATTTTAGAATTCGAGGCGACTGTGCTAGAACTGAAGTTCCATTCATTTTAATTAGCACGCAATCTCTGTTCAGGAATCAAGGCAACACTGACACACGATCTTTTTTGATGTCAGAACGTCATGTCAATAATTACTCATTAGTGGCCCCTCATAAATGCACCTTGTAGGCTATAAAAACTACCTTGACAATAGGAGGACCTAAAAACTTGCCTGTACGCTTGACCGCCTGCCCGAGTCAGGTCTCCTCAAAAGTTGATTTTACCAGATGATAGAAACTCACCCGCGTACTTAACTTGCCAGCACGAGTCAGGACAACGCGATCGCTGAACTCGTCTGCATAAATAGGGGATCCGCTAGGTGACCAGAAAATCACCCGCATAAACCAAATCTACTCACGAGCCGAACTCACCTACACGTTCAGGCAATCCGCCAGGCGACCAACAAATTCACCTGAGTACTAGGAGGCTGCAATATCACATACATGGATGGGCCTTCCCATCTCCCACGACGATAAAGGAGGGAGCACAGTACTCCAATCCCATCAAGCAGTCGCTCATGGTATGAGTGGCCAGTCAAATCCACATAGTCGACAAACCCGTCTGCATACTTGACTCACCTACATGAGTCAAGGTGCGCCTGCATCACCAGATGATCGGAGGTTCGCCTGCATACTTGACTCACCGGCACGAGTTAAGTTCGTTCAAGTGACCGAGCTCGCCTGTACGTTCAAGCCGTCAGCTAGGTTACTAACAAATTTGCCAGGGTACCTGGCAGCGATACTATCACGTACAGGGATGGGCCTTCCCAACTCCCGCGACGTGAAGGGGAGGAGTACAGTGCTCCGAGCCCATCAAGCACCCGCTCACAGTACAAGTGAGAGGCATGACATCTCTCAACAGTACATGGTCACATCCCATGATTCAAGGGAGCGACCACGCCGTCGCTCTGCTATTTAAGGGCCTCTCCTAGCTACAGGAAGGAGGTTCGTAGTCTATTAATTGATTCAATCAGTTAGCTGGACCATTAGCTCTAAACTCCCAACAGAGTTGACGACTGGCTCTTTGCATTGATCTTGCAC